ACAGCCGTCTGCTGGAAAATACGGTGCAAGACCTGAAATTAAGCAATGACATTTTAGTACGGACAGTAGAAACAATGTCTGAGCCTTCTACAGCCCTTCAAAGGACACCAAGAAACACTGTTGAGCCAAAGGATATTGCAGCACATAGGTAAGAAGCTGGGTTATTTGAAACGTAAGGCCTGTTGTCAATAAATAAATCTCAGGCCGAAACATAAAAATAATTTGTTTGAAATTAGTGAGTCTTATTGGTAACTATTCTAAGCCAGCATATACTATACATCTAGTATGTATAGATAGTCCTCGACTTACAACAGTTCATTTAGTGACTGTTCGAAGTTGCATTGGCATTGAAAAAAGCAACATGACTGTTTTTCACCTTTATGACTGTTTCCACATCTCCATGATCATGTGATGAAAACTGAGATGCTTGGCAAGTGATTCATATTTATGATGGCTGCAGTGTCCCTTGCTCATGTGATCACCTTTTGTGCTCTGACAAGCAAAGTCAATGGGCAACCCAGATTCACTTAACAACCGTGTTGCTAACTTAACAACTGCAGTGATTCACGTAACAATTGTGGCAAGAAAGACAAGAAAGGCCATAAAAGGGGAAAAACTCACTTTACAAATGTCTCAGCAACAGAAAATTTGGGCTCAATTTGTGGTCATAAGTTGAGGACTACCTATGTTTGTATGAACTCAAAATAGACATTTACTTTCTTTTTATTGTACAGTATTTTAAGTTGTTTCTAGGTAAGCAGTTATTAACCTGAATACTTGCATGAAAAACGATTGTCAGGTGAGTAGACGATTTTTCTATAGAGGTATATAGAAAGCTAAAATGGAGATGACCTTCAAAATCAATGGATTCATCTCACTTCCCATCCAAACTTTGCAGATAAACAGTTTCTGAGTTCACTTTTAATATACAAGTATTTGGGGATTTTGTTATTTGGATTGAAGAATATAATTTACTTCCTTCCTTGAATAAAAGAATATGTGGATGTTACATTTTGCATCAAATGTACTTTTTCATCTAACTTTGGTAACATTTCAACCAAGAACATTGGATCATTTAATGTTCTCCCTGTATTAATATATACAATACAATAGCTGCCTGATATTGGATATTTTCCAAAGTTAGCCCTACTTTGCCTGGGTTTGGTCTTATTTATTTAAATTAATGAATTCCAGTGGTGGCACATGAAATAATGTCAAGCATGACTCTTGAACCAAGGATAATATAGATGCAAAGGCCCAACCTTTTGTACTGCTATATTTGCACCGGACTTTACAGATTTTTTAAAATAATGTAATATGTTATGCTTTACCGTTGCAGAAATACTGGCATTGTTAATTTTGTTGTATTTTTATCCCACCTCTATACATATTTTTAAGGATGTGTCAACTTCTGGAAGGAAGGAATCCAAAACAATTATTTAGAACATATGAAAGGCTTGAGGAGATGGCTGAAAAGTTACATTTGGATTCAGTATCAGTGCTTGACCAATTAGTGCTAGCTGGCCAAGAACAAAATCATCTTTTGTCAAAGATGGATGCTGATTTAACAATTCTTCATGATTCTATATACTGCAAAGGAGAAAGAGTGTGCCTTAGTAATCAGGTAAGTAATTTGATTATAATCACCTGTGATGGGGGTTTCATGGAGTATTCAGCAGTACAGTTAATACTGTAATTATAAGAAAGTACCTTATTCACATAACTTTGATGTGTCTAATCTAAAATATTTAGTGAGCTATCACAAAGCTGGTAGGCAAAATTAAATCCTTCCAAATCTATGACACACTGTGGACCATAGCTTTTTATTTAGCAGAAGATTCTTGCCAATGACCAGTAATAGTTGGCCTATAGAATCCTATTAAAATTTTCATATTCCTGATTTACAGTATAAATGCCAAGAATTCCGAGTTTTAATTTTAAAGAACCATATTTCAAAAAATATGTGGGCAGAAAAAGCTCACGATTGCCTAAATAAAAGAGTTAATATGAAAAAATTTCTAGGGTATAATGGGACAGACGTGTATTGAACTCACTGTTGTATTTCTCTCATGTTTAGCAACTGTCTGAACAGTCTCAGCAGCTGGAATTCCAGTTGAATAAAATAAATCAGCTTATTACAGATTTTCTTGCTGATATAAAAGCTAAGAAGGACATCTTGGAGAATAATAAAGTACAGGAGATGGAAAGAAAACTCTGTGTGTTCTTCTTCAACGATGAAGAACGTTTGAAAAACATTGTGGAAACATTGGAGCAACGGGTTCAGGCTCAACCCAACCTTTGAAGATTATATGTTACATGATTAACATAGGGGTTTTGGGGGGGAGGGGGGTGTTCATAGATTATTCAATTTTTTTGCATTGAATTTTAATCAGAAGGGCTATTGTTGCAGCACCAGAAGGTTTAAAGGAAACCATGAAACCACCTCTTATGAGTCAACAGCTATTTGGCAAACTAGATATACTATATTATTGAACTTAAAGTCAAAACATAATATGGGAAATATTCTCATAAAAAAATTAAGTCAAAATAGACTTGTTGCAAGGACTTCCTAGTTTATTTCACCAAGTAGGAAGAATATGTAGAACATTTATTCATTAGCCAATAGTTTCTTCATTGTTTTTTAATCCTTATATTCAATATATTTCTCTCTAACATTTCATCCTAATTTGGCAAATATTCCAAGTTACCTTCCTCAATCTGATGCTTTCTCATAGTGCGATTAGAATAGTTGTGAATTAGGACAGCAGAATATTGGGCTATGAAAAGCTGTTCTTTCAGGATAATTAAACCTACATTTCTGTAACCAATAACACTTTGTGTATTTGTGTGCTACATCCTTCCACATTTTTATAGGTGAAACTCAAAAAATTAGAATATCGTTCAAAAATTCATTTATTTCAGTAATACAACTTAAAAGGTCAAACTATATATGAGATAGACTCATTACATGCAAAGCAAGATAGTTCAAGCATCATAATTGAGATTATAGTTTACAGCTCATGAAAACCACAAATCCACAATCTCAGAAAATTAGAATATTGTGAAAAGGTTCAATATTCTAGGCTCACTCTAATCAGCTAATTAAGCCATAACACCTGCAAAGGGTTCCTGAGCCTTTAAATGGTCTCTCAGTCTGGTTCAATAGGAATCACAATCATGGGAAAGATTGCTGACCTGACAGTTGTGCAGAAAACCATCATTGACACCCTCCATAAAGGAGGGAAAGCCTCAAAGAAGCTGGATGTTCTCAAAGTGTCTATCAAAGCACATTAATAGAAAGTTATGTGGAAGGGAAAAGTGTGGAAGAAAAAGGTGCACAAGCAGTAGGGATGACCGCAGTCTAGAGAGGATTGTCAGGAAAAGGCCATTCAAAAGTGTTGGGGACTTTCACAAGGAGTAGACTGAGGCTGGAGTCAGTGCATCAAGAACCACCACACACAGACAGATCCTGGACATGGGCTTCAAATGTCATATTCCTCTTGTCAAGCTGCTCCTGAACAACAAACGTCAGAAGCATCTTACCTGGGCTAAAGAAAAACAACTGGTCTGTTGCTCAGTGGTACAAAGTCCTCTTTTCTGATGAGAGCAATTTTTGCATCTCATTTGGAAACCAAGGACCCAGAGTCTGGAGGAAGAATGGAGAGGCACACACTGCAAGATACTTGAAGTCCAGTGTGAAGTTTCCACAGTCTGTTGATTTGGGGAGTCGTGTCATCTGCTGGTGTTGGTCCACTGTGCTTCATTAAGTCCAGGGTCAATGCAGCTGTCTACCAGGAGATTTTGGAGGACTTCATGCTTCCTTCAGCAGACGCGCTTTATGGGGATGCTGACTTCATTTTCCAGCAGGACTTGGCACCTGCCCACACTGCCAAAAGCATCAAACCCTGGTTCAGTGACCGTGGGATTACTGTGCTTGATTGGCCAGCAAACTCACCTGACCTGAACCCCATGGAGAATCTATGTGGCATTGCCAAGAGAAAGATGAGAGACATGAGACTGAACAATGCAGAAGAGCTGAAGGCCACTATTAAAGCATCCTGGTCTTCCATAACACCTCAGCAGTGCCACAGGCTGATAGCTTCCATGACACACTGCATTGAGGCAGTAATTGCTGCAACAGGGGCCCAAACCAAGTACTGACTGCATCTGCATGCTTATACTTTTCAGAGGTCTGATATTATTCTATGTACAATCCTTGTTTTATTGATTGCATGTAATATTCTAATTTTCTGAGATTGTGGATTTGGGGTTTTCATGAGCTGTAAGCCATAATCATCACAATTATGACAAATCACGGCTTGAACTATCTTGCTTTGCATGTAATGAGGCTATCTCATATATTAGTTTCACCTTTTAAGTTGTATTACTGAAATAAATGAACTTTTGCACAATATTCTAATTTTTTGAGTTTCACCTGTATATTCAGTTGTAATAATTAATTTTAATACCTGATTTAACAAAGTTGAAGATTAAATTGTAAATATTGGCCCTACCAGAGAGCGGAGTTTTGTAACTAAAACATGTAAGCTTAATATAAATGTTTAAGATCTCAAAGGCCATGTTTTTTTATTTCCTAGTCTTATTTTCCCCCATTTCTAAAAAAACCCATTTTATTCCAGGTACAGAACAGACGGACTCCCTTGCAGCAAGTTTACATATTGGGGAATATTGCCAAAGTTTGTTAGTTTCCCCATGGTGCATTTTTGATTCATTTGTCATTGGTATTTTTTATTTAAACAGTCAAATTGCTTCTTCCACCATCTTTCCATCGCCTCTCGAGCTCCTTTTTCCCCAGAACCACTTGAAGAGTGGCACTTCATCCGAGACTCCCATTTCCTCGGCTGGGAAAAGGCGGGTTCTTTGCCTTTTATCGGGATGCCAGTAATTTCAAACGCCTTTCAGCCCCACCTTCAGACAGGGGCGCTGAACTTGAAACGTCGCGCTCCTCCCACAGCGGCGCGTTGCAGTAGCTTTCCCAACGCCGCTTTCGGCCTCTGTAGACCCGGAAGGGGCGGCCCTTCAGCTGTGTTCGGTTTGCTTTCCTTAGTAGCTTTGGCTTCCTTCGGCCGAGATGTTGCTGCTGGTCGGGTTAAGGCTCCACGCTCCCGGCCTAAAACTCTGGCAGCAAAGCGCGGGAAGATGTAGGGCGCTCCAGTCGGCTAAGAGGTCGATAGGAATCCCGGAGAAGCGCCAACCCTTCACGGTTTCCCATTGCAAACTGCTAACGTCGCTTAGTTCTCCCCGAGCGTTTGCATCCCGGTTTTGGCTGGGGAAAAACAAGCAGGTAGGTGCTGCAGCGAACGGTGCTTCCTTACACGGCGAGGGAGGGCGAAGTTTCCCGTAGAAAGCCTGTAACGGGTTTAAACCGTGGCTCCTGGCCTGCAGGTTGTTGCACGTGTGGATTTATAATCAGTGTTATAATCCGGTGATTCTGAACCTCGATAGCTTTAAGATGTGCGGAGTGCAGGTCCCAGAATTCCTGAGCCACCAAGTGGATGATCCCTGCTGCCTGTGCTCAACCGAAGAACGCTTGGGATAAAAGAAATCGGGGTTTTATAGCTCAATAGTAGCAGGAAATTGGAAACAAAATCTGAGACGTGTATCTTATTTTCTTTTTCTACCAGGACATATAAGCAAACAGTTTAGTTTTAATTTGGTAGGAAATACTTCAAAATGCTTTTGTTGCTGCTTATTTGAAATCCTAGTAACAAACATGTTCCATAGAGTGGAAATTGCTAATTATTAAGGAGGTTCATCTAAAAGGTGTTTGTAGGTGCTTTAATTTTGTTACGTTTTCTTTATTGCAGTTGTTGGCTGCCCAAGATTATATTGCAGAAGATATGTGGCCATATAAGTCTTAACACAATAAATATATCTGAATCATGGACTGGGCATCTTAATTTTTCATGTGGTCCATACATCACTCACATAACGAAGAGAAACGTGGTTAGAAGTAGGGCAGTAGCTTGCCAATCTCAGGATCATTATTTAAATTAGTTGCTAGAAGAAAGCGTGTCTCCATGCATGCATATGTGTGTGTGTGTGTGTGTGTATGTGTTAATATATGAGTAAACTTACTGGAAGAGATGTTGATACAGATGATTATATGGTATTTGGCCCCTAGGTTCCATTTCTCCATGCAGAGTCTTTATGTCGCTTTGGTACATCATCCCTGGAGGAACATTCAGAATATGGAAAATTAATTTATTCTGGAAGTTTATCAAGAACTGTATTAGGTAAGCGTGTTGGGATTTGCTGTGGTTTTTTTAAAACAACCTTTTCATGAGTGAGAATTCTTGTCATACAGAAATGCATGTAAAGTGTGTAACTATAAATTTGTTAATGTATTTAAATATCTTACCGTATTTCCCCATGTATAAGCCACCCCTTTTTTCCAAAATTTTCAAGCCCAAAAAGTAGGGGGGTGGCATATACAAAGCAGGTACACTTTTTATACGTGAAAAATGCATAAAATAATAAAGTAGGAATAAACTGGTTTTCCAGCAGTATGCTATACTTTTTTGTAAAAATTGTACGTGATGATACGAGTGCGAGTACGCAATAGAAATGCATACGCTAGGCATCGGCCTGAATGCTTCGTTCCTACTCTCGTTCCGATGCATAGATTGCTAGTGTCGCCCGCACCGCTTTCGGCGTCATGACCGAAGTTGTAGATCTAGATGTCGAATTTTGTTTCTTTGTAAATTTTCTTTCTTTATAACTTGTTTCTCTAATAAAATATTTTTTTCAAAACTTCACAGTCCAAAAATTGGGGGGGTGGCTTATACAAAGGGGGTGCTTATACATGGGGAAATACGGTATTTAAGTACTACTAATTGTAATAGCTTAAACCAGGCATTTGTGACTGTTACATGTTTCTCCTGCCTAAACATTCTTTTGGAACATCTTGATGGCTCCTCTTAGTCTATTGGGGAACTCAATGGCTGGAAGGAAAAATGCTGGTGGATAGAGAGGGTTAATCTAGGAAGTATTTGAGTTTAAACAAGGCTCTCTGCTGCCTTGAATTAAACCTAAGTAAAAAATAGAAATGAATTTCCTGGCATCTTTGTATGATATAAATATGTTCTAATGTTCTGAATATAAGTTTTCTGTTTTGTGTACAGTCACCTGAAAAATGAGCAATAGCTAGATGGGACTCCTCTCCAAACTGCATTATTATTTCTGGGTTTTTGAGATACTGCCTGGTATCTTATTCCCAATTTGATGCTCTCTAGATTCAACTAACTACTACTCTCTCACCCTTTATGGCCATGCTTTTTGAAAATTATGAAAATTCATGTCCAGTTATCTGGAGGAACAAGTTTCATTAAAGTGATAAGGACTTAATTCTGAGTAGAACATACAACTCTTTAAAACTTATGTTACTTTTTGTAAATGTAAAGCAAAGACAAAACGAGTCTTCATTTATTGAACTATGCCAATCTCCGGCCCTCATTCCTAATCATAGCTATCAGGAACTAATGCAAGTTCTTTGTTGTCAATATGAGAAACACCAGCCGGCTTAATTGCCTTCCAAAGACCCCTTTTAAACAAAATATTTGGTTCTTTTTTCATCTATTCTTTTATGCTGTTATTAAATATACATGCCAACTATATTATTTTATAATAATATAAAAACATAAAACTTTAAGGATTGAAACATTAAAATTAACCAAGGGTAAATAAAAAGGGACTAATATATAAATTGAATGGAAATGGAATCTTCTCTCAATCTAGTAACCGCCTCCAAAGTGAAAGGCCCAAGTCAGCTGGCAGAGCCAGGTTATCAGCGCTTTTTTAAAGGCTAAGCGGGTAGGGCCAAACCTCACCACGAGGAGCATGATGTTCCAAAGTGTGGGAGCCAGGATAGAAAAGGCTTTTCTCCTGGATCCTACCAGCTGTATTACTTTGGCCAATGTGGTCTGCACCATATTCCCTCCAGGCCAATCCCACTGGGAGAAGACAGTTCTTCAGATAGGCTGGATCCATACCATAAAGGGCTTTAAAGGTGATAAGTAGCACCTTAAATTGGACCCAGAAGCTAACTAACAACTTTTTAAAACATTCTTCATATCAGTGCTATATGTCTTAGATGCCTGGCAGGGTAACAATTTGTAGCAAAAAAAAGTGGAACTTGATAACAAATGAGCGCTCTCTTGTAATCCCTTCCACTCCAGTGTCTCTACTCTGCATGTTGGGAGGGAAAACTAGTCAGGCCCAGGAGAAATTGCTTTAGAAATTGCTTGTTTCCCCAGAGAAGGAAATTAGAATGGAAGGGATTACAAAAAGTTAAGCAGGCACACAATGGGCAATATATTGGACTATTTGCATAGTATGCTCATTCCAGCCATGGAAGCCCTGGAAAAGCTGTTTTTCTTTACAGGAGTGATGACAGTTGCAGCAGGTACCTCTTTTTGTCTTCCCATTCAAACTTCTGCAGTGTTATTGTAGAAATATTGTTAAATATTTCATTTAGCTCTGTTAACCGAACTATATCAATTCAGGAGGAAGATGGCCCTCCCAACAAATGGATGTAAATGGATCTCAGTACTGCATAGTTCTTGAATTACTGTCTGGGTGTATATCATATATGTGGTTGGGAGCCAATTTGAACCTCTTTACTATTAAGGTGTTTTTCTTTTTCTTGCAGGAGTGAAAATTTTCTGTTTTACCACCAGCATAATTACTGCTTCCATGTTGTTTGCCATCATACACAAGTATGGCTTAAATTTTGACAAACTCTACTCGGAAATTGCTTATTATAGTGCCACACTATTCTTTATTTTCCTAACACCACTTCTCTTACATTTATTTACTAGAAGGTATGTTATCCGTCTGTACCATAAACATAAAACAGATACATATACAGCAATTACATACAGTGGCATTTTGAGAGAAAAGCAAACGTTATTCCATCAGAAAGATGTAACTGTTCCAGACATGAGCAAGACGTTCACAACATTTTATGTTAAAAGAAGAGCAATGTTTGTTAACCCATTCCATTTTAATTATGCTGAAGACTACAGTCACCTTATGGGTTATGACAAACCCTTTCAGTTTAATTTGAAGGACTCAAAAATATAGAATTCTAAAATGTCAGAATCTGTATATATTATCTGATTTCTCTTGATGTTCAAAAGTCTTTTACATATTCTAGATGACCTAATATTGCTTTTTTTCATCATTACTCTTGTTATTTTAAATATTGATAAGCATGATTAAAAGTGCTTTTATTGGCATGGGCATTTAGTCTACTGAGCAAAAAGATGGTCTTTTGTTGCATCTTTGACCCCTCTTTAGAGTCCACTATCTGAAGAGAGGGGGATCAAAGAGGCCATCTAGGTTAACATTGGAGACCCTCTCTCAACTGGGGGGGGGGGGAATACAGCACCACTATTTCCTGTTTACAACACAGTTCCAAGAAGGCTCCACACCCATTTGCAGTCTGATTCACGTGACTCTTATAAACCCCCAATTGGCCTTAACAACTAGAGAAAGTACTAATGACCAGGTGACTGCAAGGAATATAAATCCTACCCACCCACCCCCAGTTCAGTCAGAACTGAAAAAGCTTGTATGAGAAGCAAAACGTCCAGGAGGTGGGACCAAAGTACGTTGCCTGTTGGAAAAGTACTTTTGTGACAACAGCATTTATTTCACAGATGGATCAATACAATCTTCAAAGAATCCTCACCCAGTTCTAAGAACTAGCTCAGTTTTAAGGATGTTTTTTATTTCTTTATTTTTAAGTTTCTTTTTATTGAGATCATCTTCAATTTTCTGAAAACGATTATTGAGGAAATTGCAATTCACAATTATGGGTAAATAAAGAATGGATGAACTTCAGTACTGTAAGGGAAGTGTTTTTACCACTAGAGGGAACTGAATCACAATAGTGTGTGACATTTTTAAATGCAGGCCCCTCTAATGGAGTGTTCAAAAAGCATGTATTGTAATATACATGGAGCCATAATTGGCTTCCTAGTAAGAAATGACAATGGGGCATACACAATTTTTTTATTTTAAAAGAATGTTCATAAGGGTTATTCTGTTTTTGGATTGTTGACGCCGATTTCAAATTTGAGCATTTTTTACAATTTCATATGAAATATCACAAGAGTTCACTAGCTCTGGCATAAGCGACAACACTGGCAAGATTTGTTTCTTTGTAAGACTGATTAATAAAAATAATTAAAAATTATATCCTTTGAAGAATGGATTTTACAAACTTGGTCTACACAGTCACATGCTTTCCATTCTACATATAAATGCAAACATAAACTGCCTGCTCCTCCAATGCACGTACAGGTTCTATGACCTTTGACCATTCTTGAAGAGTAAGAAGTTTAATTTTCAAAATGATTTCTGTTACATGGGAAGAATGATTAATCTTACTATGAAGAATATTACAGCTATACCCAACAGTTTTATCTGGTTAAGTAGTTTACACGCATATTTCCTCAACTTGTAATGATCACAGCCAAATATTGTTTGATGATCACTTTCACAAAAAGAAAGGTTGAAGCTCTAGCAATAATGCATTAGACAGGCATCTTTCTAGCTATTTTTTGGAAGTGTGACCATAACATTTAAATCTAGACACAGAATATATAAGGTTCTTCCCAAAAATGATTGCCCTGAAAAGGAGGCAAATGATTACTGTGATAGGCAGCTACAGTCACAAAACTTTATGAAAACTTGTCACACCTAGGCTGAAAAATGTGAATTATCTCCATTATGAAGACTGAAATTGTATGATTTTGTAGCAGTTTTCCATTCATTTGTGGACTGAATAGAGCAAATAGAATAACTCAATAAACTTGATTATGGTCACTCACTAATTCAAAAAGAAGACAACAAAAATTATTTGAAAATTAGATAATTATAAAAGTTATGTGTTGAAAAAGAAGCACCACCTGCTAGAGTTGGACATGACTGGATAGGGAAACTTTCACCTTCATATGAAGCAGGTACCTCTGGGAATAATAGAAATATGTCATAGGTCATGCTAATTTCTGTGATTTTTGAACAATATATTCCATATGTGCTCTGTCTGGTAAAATATTCCCAAACACATGATTTTAACCCCTGCAGTAGAATGCCTATTTAGTTGCCAGGCATGAATTTTGGCAAAATCCTAAACTAGCTTTTGTTTAATTTGAATGCATCTGCATTGCAAGGGATAACTCACTTTTGGCCAATTAAAATTGAGATAACAGATAACATCTACATACCAGAGGAAATTGCAATATATTTACTCTTCAGTTTTGGAGAATGACACATATAATTATTCATCTTGGCCAAGGCTGTCAAACTCCATGCTCACGGGCTAAACTAGAATTTTTGAAAAGTTTATATATACAATAGTATAAGAAAGACTTGCCTGTTAGATAATATTTGTCTATATAAAATTCCTGTAGTTACACCATAATTTATATCATTTCTAGATATAAGAGCTAGATTTTAGCTAGCCCTATTATTTTTAGGATCAGAATCTTATTGTATAAATGTGAACAGGAAGGACAACAGTAATCTACCAATCCAAATTATTCCATTTTTTTAACTGGCAGGTTTTGATTAATTAAATTGCTATTTCTGAGCATATTAAGGAGGGCCACCATGGGAATAACTGTTCATTAAGCTCTAGGTCAGGTTTGTGTAGTGGGTTTACTCCAGCTTATATAATGTCCCAAAATGGTCCATTCATGCTTGTGAATGAAGGAAAAGGTGGGTGGTTAGGTGAGGATTATGAAGCCCAAAATAAAGTTGAATTGAGAAGCCAATATTTCTTGAGGGTCTGCCTCCTGACAGCCATAATCAAATCAAGCTTCGGTGAATATAGTGATCCTCCTCACTCTCTGTCACTTTACACAAATGAGATTCAGATAACATATTGCGTGTCTTCTGTAACAACAAGCAAAACATTAAAAAGATTTTCAGATAATTGTTTTGGTATCATTTGAGATAGAACATAGCTATTCCCCTTTAAAAAAATTCTCATTTGAGGATGACGTAGCGTAACATTCTTCCTCTTTTTTACTGAAAATGAAGTTGCTTTGTTGCTGGCAAGATGGTGTTGAGATATCTACACTTCTTCCAGCTTGTTATTATCATTCTTTCTGTTTATGGCTTCACTGTGGCACTGGAAAAACAACTGCTTTGTACATCCAATGACATTGATATTTTATATTCCTATTGTGGTAAGTAAAGAACCACTATTCCTTTGTTTAAGCAGAGTTTGCAAATCCTTTCAGATTAGTTTGTCCCTTCTTCGACTATATTGTTCCGTTTATTTAAAATAGCAAGAAAAATGTGTCCTGGAGAATACTTGGAAACAGATCAGAAGAAGGGAGATCATTTTGGGGAGGCTACCATTGAATCTTCATTCTGGTGAACTAGATTTCTCTCTGTTTGCTTTACACTAACCTAGAGCTATTTTGCATAGTATCTCTGCTTCCTTGTTATATATTTACAAAACAGCTATGTTTAAGTAGAGAGCCAGTTTGGTATAACTTGAAAAGGGAGACAAATTGGTGTAGCTCTTAAGACATCAGTTCTGGGAGGCAGGAGACCCCGAGGTTCCAGTCATCAGGGCCTCCGGCAAAATTAACTGGGTGACTTTGAGCCAAGTTCCTCTAGTGGCAAACCGCTTCCCAAAAACCTTGCCAGGGATTGGTCCAGGCAAGGTAATACTGATTCACACAGAGAAACAGACACACACACTCTTACAGACACTTGAAAAACCATGTCGTCGTAAAGTGAAATTCTGTTTTCTCCATTTGCCCTATTTTTTGCAATAAAGTAACCCTGACAAAACTAGCTTTAGTGTCATGTACTAGTATGGTCATTACTCTTAATGTGATAACTTGCAATCTAGGATGCACAATTTTACTTAGAAAATAGTACACACATGCTTTTGAGCTGAAAAATCTCTTTGATTTGCAAAAATTTACAACAAATTTTTAAAATTAAATTTTTAATTACATTAAAATTAAAAACTTTAATTTTTTTCCTTTTTATTTCTTTAGGTAATTTATCCCTCAGTCTGAGTCAAACAACTTCCTCATTTTAAGACTATTGTATATTGCATTCAGTTTCTGCTATGCTCTTCATTAGCAATTTCTAAGCTGAAACAGATTTCTGTAAAATCAAAACAATAATCTGATGCCTTATGATTTCAGGTTCTTAGTAAAAAAATATTATTGGTATTGGTTAGAAAAATGAAACTAATCATTAGTTGAGCTCAATAGATTTTTAAACTTCAAAAGTGAAGTTACTTTCTTTTCATCAAACAAGAATGAAATAGAAAAATGCAGTAGTTAGAAAGACAAAATTCTACTCTACTTCAAATGTATTTCCAGTATTTGGTTCATGGCTAAACTAGTGTCAGATCTACACCTATAAGCTTGTTGTTTTATGACTGCAGCATCACAGAATGATTTTCAGATTTTAAACAGGTACCCCAAGTCTTTTACCCTAAGATGTTGTAATTTCCATTACATTATCATAACATCAGTGTAATAACTTCTGTAGAAATTCCTATCAAGTAGCTGTGAAACACAGAAAGTACAATTCTATTTAGATCTATTCTAGGGTTGACGGTGTCATGGTAACCTTGAATCTTCCCTATTCAGGAGTGAACAACCTTTGTTATCTTCCTAGATTGTGTGTGTGTTTGTGTGTGTGCGCGCCTGCTTATTTATTTATTTTTCACATTGCTGAACCATCCATATTTCCCAAAGAGGGTCTCTGGGCGATGTACAATGAAATAATAAATAAAGCAATAAAAATGCTCATTGACTTCCAAAATTAAGGCATAAGCCCTGAAAAGTATCTGAAACTTCAGCTGATGTAGAATATGACCATGCAAGTAATATTGGGTCCTCAAAGAAGGGCATAGGTAACTCTACTTGGCTCCACAAACTACAATGCCTTCAATATCTGGCAAAAATTTTGGTTTTGGTTTTCAGAACTCTCCAAAGCATCCATGGGCCACACTTAAAACATGGTTATAAAGCAACATGCCTATATGATTTTTTAAAAGTCCACCTTTTAATTAAAATACGTCATCACATTTTATGTAAATATATAAGTTGAATTGTCTCTGATTATGCCATTACATTTGTGCCTTCACTTGTGTCTTTGTTCTTTCATGGATACTTTTGGTCCCAATCATTTGCTAATGAGTTCCTTGTAATATTGGCACAAAAGTTATTTTTCATTTTGTAAATTAGTTTAAATCCTGTGGGATGACCATAATTTCTTCTAATTTAAATAAAATGAACTAATTAATTAATATCACATTTGAGCAAGCAGTGGGGACTGAAACATCTTATTTCTACATGGAGTAGGCCTGCCTTTACATTTATTTTGCCACTTTTTGAAACCTACAAAGCTGAAAGAGAACTTATTTAAATATTTGCTTTGGAGCAGAAAATAATACTATATTAAATCTGTTTTGGTGCCATATGAAAACTGAGAACTATTCAGAAAAGTTCAGCCAACGTTTTTCTTCGCTTATTGAAAGCTCTGGCATGTCCCCATTTATGAGAAGTGATTTCTTATGACTTAGTGGGTCACATGCTTTGTGGAATATCTTGACAGGTGAGCAAAAATAGAATAATCTACAAACAACATGGCCCCAAAGATGAGAATCAAGGAAATTTTGAAAGCTCCAGAATACTATGTTTACATAATCCCTGTTGCAATCTCAGCTACTTCAGTTAGCTACAGATGTAAAAGAACTCTTCAACTATGCATTTCTTTTTTATATGATGTTTTTCTAGATGCAATTGCTCTATATTATTCTAATTAAGTATTGTCTTGCTAGTTTCTTCCATACCGGCACAGACTCAACGTATTGGTTGACACATATTTTCAAAAGCGTGTTAGTTGTGTACATTAGTAGTCCAACAGGAATGGTAAAAGATTCATGTTGTTTTTAAATGATTTTTCTTTCTTTACTAAATGTATTTGCCTCATAGGTTCCGGGAGAGATAACTTCTTATTTTCAGTGGAGCCTTGTTGGTTACGGGATCGTACAAACTGGCAGGGTACTATTTTCTGGATTCCAAGTGAGTTTATTGCCTATGTTTTACTACACCAGACTTAATTGTTCTCCATTACAGGTGGGTCTTGCTTAATGATCACTCATGAGGACTACCTGTCCAGCAAATATACCATGCTGACTATTTTTTTC